AATTAGTCTGGCTTCAAATTTCTACAACATGACTGAAACACTCATCTGATTAAGACAGGCTAATCTCAAATAATTTTTCCATTCATTAACTTAAAGTCAACTCGGTAGGAATCTCAGTGGCATCTTCAAAATCTCCTCTGCCATAAAAGATCATGTCGTGACATCCCATCATAATCACAATCTTGCTCATACCCAAGGGGTGAAGACTATGTAGGACTCTAAATAAGAAGCAACATTTGGGGTCCACGTTAGAGTTCTATCTGCTATATAAAGTAGAACATCTATATCCATCGAGCAATTTGAGATCTCTGCAAGGTAAATTATCAGAAGGCATGTCAGAGAAGGACACCAAAATAAACCCAACAGCTCAAAGCAAGAAGAAAGCTCAGAGAACAATAAGCAAAATACCAAAGTACAACTCATAACTGGATGTCATACAGTATGCTACAAACACGCCTACTCCCATGGGGAACAGCAATCAATGTGTATGGTGGTAGTTAGCATAGATACTGAAACATCCATGATAAATGAGGAAACTCAAAAGTTCATTCTCTCTCTCTCTCTCCTTCCTGTCCCATGTGCTCATGTACGTGTATGTTTGAGACAGGGTATCATGTAGCCCAGGCTGGCCTTGGACTCCTTTTCCTCCCTCCTCTACTTCTGAGTATGAACTCTGAATGAATGGCTTATCCTTTTATACTTTTAACTTTGAATTTAATTTGCATTTCTATTTTTCCATGAAGTATCTTAAGGTTTTATAGAGGTTAATATAATTCATTTAACAATCATCCTATTTAGGAGCTGGTGGGATGGTGCGGTTAATGTGCATACCATGTAAGCATGAAGACCTGGGTTTGGATGCCCAAGTTACCCATAAGAGCTGGACGTGGCAGTTTGTCCCAGCACTGAAATGACTGAGACAGACTGATTCCTAGAGATTATTGGCTTTGCCAGCTTAGCCAATTGGAGAGCTATGGGTTCAGTGATAGACTTTATCTAAAAAAAAAAAAATATATATATATGGCATAAAGTGATTGGGAAAGACTAGGAAAGACACCTGATATCAGCTCTGACCTTCACACACACATGCACATACGTGAACATGCATCCTAATGTCTAAAAGCATGTGCCATATAATACACACGTGATGTTTACATTTTTATTATTATTGTATGTGGCCATTAGTTTTGTGTTGGCTGGAGGACAACTTTGAAGACTCTGCTCTCTCCTTTCCCTTCTACAGGGTTCTAGTGATCAAAATCTGGTCAGGGGTTTTGCAGCAAGTGCCTTACCCAGTGAGTGATGTGGTCTCACATACACACTTTAAAAATTTTTTTAAAAAGTAACTTTCTAGATAGTGTTTTTAAATTTTTCTTAGTGTTGTTTATGCCATCCTGATGGTTTTGGCTTCTCTATGATCTTTCAGCTGAAAATGCTTTATAATTTCACATTTGATTTTTTTCTGTCTTAGTTGGTGTTTCTATTCTTGTGAAGAGACACAATGACCACAGCAACTCTTTTAAGGAAAACATTTAATTAGGGCTGGCTTCACAGGTTTAGTCCATTGTCAATGTTGGAGAAAAGATGGTGGCAGACAGACATGTTGCTGGAGAGGTAGCTGGGAGTTCTGCACCCAAATCGGCAGGTATATAATGTGGCACTGGGCCTGGCTTACCTGTGTGAAACATCAAAGCCCACACCCAGTGACCCACATCCTCCGACAAGGCCGCACCTAGTCCAACAAGGTCACATCTCCTAATTTTGTCACTCCCTGTGAGCCCATGGGGACATTTTCATTTAAACCACCATACCTTCTTTGACCCATTTGCTGTTCCTAAGCTTGTTGTTTGGTTCCCACCATTAAAACATCTACCAGTCGCTAAGGGTGAGTTTCGATCTGAGTCCATGCTGGCTAGAAAGCGTATCTGCATGGGCCTGAATATTTCCAAGCTGTCAACTATCTTACAGCCCAGGATGTGATCTACTTTCCTACATCCTCTGTGTCCACGTCAAAACTGCGTTTTCCTGTTGTTAAACGAAGTGTTTTATAGATGGGAATTATGATTAATTGGTTAATAGTGACTTTCAACCTTTGATACGCTTGCTGACTTTCCTCTCAACTTGTTCTAGCATTTGCTGTGAGACAATCGGCCAGCTGCTAAGTGTAGTTTGTGATTGGTTGGCTCGCTCTGGGTTTCCTAAGAATCCGACATGTGGTGCGAAGCTGTGCCGCGCATTGTTTGGTTATATGGGTATTGTCGATACAGCTTTTTTCATTCGTTTTAGCTGAGTATCCCATTTTATCTTTTAAATCCTGGCCTCTTTGTGTTACAATAAAGAACACACACAAGTAGCACCCACTTAAGAGTCTTTTTTAAAATCCAGTTTTAAGTTTGTACAGATTAGATCATACACGGTTAGTGGGATAACTGACACGATTCGATTTCAGTCTGTTATCTTGTAGGACCTCCTTCTCTGAGGTCTCGCTTGAGTTCAGTCCTCAGCATAAACCAGGGTGATGACCCCCGGGTCTGTAATCACAGCTCCTCAGAGAAGAACCTGGGGGAATCATAGAATGCACGGTTATCCTCGGTCTCATCTAGTACCCAGCTGACTTGGGTTAGTTGAGATGCTATCTCCAAACCATTGTTAAATTTCATATTCCATGCCCTTCTAAGAAGCACGAGGTAAGCTCATGCCCCACTGAACTTCCCACCTCCCTGTTACTGCCTCAGTGGTTATTTCAGTTCCTAGGTCCCATGCTAACACAATGCTGGCCTGGAGCCTTCTTCTTCTACTTCATAATAACACGTGAGAGCAGTGGGCTGGTGCTTTGCTACAGAGGTCAGTGTAGTTGTTCTATATTCTTATAAGGCAGCACTGGTAATCTCTTACTGTGCCTAGTCTATGAATTAATCTTCATCACGGTATAGACACATACAGAAGAAAGAACTATGAGTAAAGTTTAGTACAATCCCAGGCTTCAGCATCCCCTGGGGGCCGGGCAGTGCATCTTCCAAGGACAAGGGAGGACAGTGGCCTGTGTGGTTTGTATGTCCAGTCTCTTCCTTGCTAGCTTTTTCCTGTTCGTTTTTGTTTCATTTTGGATTAACTCAGGGTTTTGTGTGTGTGTGTGTATGTGTGTGTGTGTGTTTTGTTTTTATTTTGTTTATTTTTTATTGTTGGTTTCTCAACTATAAACCTTTGTCTGGGTGTTTTGTGGCATAATATATTTTATAGAGTCTACACTATGGAGTACATACCTCAGATTTATTGTTGCTAGGCTAGGGCAATCTACTGCTTCATGTCCGATGTAAAAGTTAGAAAACTTCATCTCTATTATCATATAGTTTACTTATATATAAATTATAAGCTCTATAATACACTCCTTTTATTTAAACATTGAATTGTTTTATAAAGTGTCTAATAAGAAAAAAATCACATATTTACCATGTAAGTAATTTTAATTTCTTTGTATAGATTCCACCTTGTATTATTTTCTTGCTGCTAAGATGATTTCCTTTCAAGCTTTCGTACTATAGGCTTACTGGTGAAGTCTTCCAGTTTTTATGTATTTGAAAACATTTGTATTTCATCTATTTTTTTTTCCCAGAGTGAATCTTGCATGCTGCTATTGGCATCCTGTTTCATGTCTGGATGGTATTTCTAACCACAACCCCAAACATTCAAATCCAGTGCTTATGCAATATTTAATCTATGATTACTCCCATGGTTTAGTTTTCCTTTCGACTACTGTAGTTTGCATCCATACAAGTTCAATTTGAGTATGGTTTTTGAAGTGCTCTGATCTATACCCACCTTTTTGAATATTTGAAATATTTCAAAAACAGTTGTAATAACTGTTATGGTGTTGATCTGCAGACTCAGTGAGGGAGATAGCTGGTGCATAGATGCATTATGGCATGGAGCCCTTAGGGACATGAGGCCTAGTTGGTACTTGTTGGTCCATGGGGGATGTGGGACTTTAAGGTTTATGACCTAATCTGGTTTTTAGTCTTTTTTTTTTTGCTTCCTGATCCACTAAGATGAAGACACCACATGTCAAGCTACCATCCCCACAGTTTCTATGCCCCACCATGACCCAGTCAATACCTCTGAGACTGTGAGCCAAAATGAAACTCTCCTCTTCTACCTCTGTCGTGTTTGCTGTCACAGCGATAAGAAGAGTGCCTATGCCAATGTACTTGCTGTTAACACTAACACCTCTCAGTCTTGAGTCAGTTCTGACTCATAGAGGATCATGTTTTCCTTATACTTTGAATATCTGGTAATGGAGCATTAGATGCCAGGCATTGGATGATTGGATGTTGAGTGGTTTGGTTTCTCTATCTTGGGCTTTTCTCTGGAGGCAATTGAGTTATTGAGAAACAGGTCGAAGCTCTCGAGTACAGACTTGTGAAGTGGATCTGTCTGGAGCCATGTTTGGTCTGGGGGGTGATTATTTCCCACTACCGAGTAATGGTCCCTACAGATATTCTTTCTGTTATGCCCCAAATTTGATTTTTTCCCCCAATTGGGTGAAGGGGGCTATATTCTTGACTTTTGATAAACAATGGCTGCTATTATTTAATATAATCCTTTCAAAGTTCCCCCTTCAGCACTGTGTGGTATATCTTCATACGCGTGACATGAAGACTCAGCTGATACAAGGGAACCCCTCCACGTCTCCAGGCTTCACTCTGTGCCCCCATCTCTTCTCTGGCTCTCTTTTCTGGAAACTCTAGCTGCCTGGTCTTTTTGACTCTTACCTCCATCCCCTTGCCCCAGGGAGTCCACCAGCCTCTGCCTGGGTTTCCATTTCAGGACAAAAGCGAGTCTCACTTCATTTGGTTCTCATCTTGCCTGGCTCTCTGTTATCCGTGGCCTGAAAATCAACTCATTAAGGTTCTTGTCTCATATAGTTTGCCGTGTGTGTGTGTGTATGTGTGTTAGCATCAGGCAAAGTAAAAGATATCTTCTTGGTGCTCCATCCTGGGCAGATGCGGACTTCTTCAAACAACATATCCTCTCCGTGTGTACTTCAGATGCCTCCACTGTTTCTGACTGACAGACAAATGAGACATTGGAAGGCTGAAGGTAAGAGCCCACAGCTAGCCTGTCTCTGTCTTTGTGGACCCTGGAAGAGGGCACACAGTCCTCGTCTATTACAAAAGAGATTCTAATAGAATCTTTCCAGCATAGAGCATTGCTTGAGGGTAATTGTATTATAAGCTCTGATGGGAATTATAATTGCAATTATGCCAATTTCGGTATTTACTGCCCAGGGTGGCGAGCACTTGAGCAATTAGAATTTATTAATGTGTAAGTGTAGCTACTTACACATACCTCTGCTTTAGAAACACTACTTCCTATGGTACTTACTTTTAAAATGTCCAATAAGACATATATTCTTACAGAAGGCTTTTTTGTGTCTATTTTTCTGTGACAGAACAAAAAAAGGGAAATGTGCCTCATGTCTGGTTTTACCCATCTACCAGATAACCAGGCCTCTGTGACGTCCCTAAAAAAGATTTCAGAGAATGTTTTCGGAAGAAACTCCCCAGGCCTGGCTCAGAACTCTGAAAGGATTCGCTCACATCCTATGTGGCAGCAAATAAGAGAGCTGACCACATGAGAAGAGGACGACATCAGGACAGGAACTTGGGCATCTACAAGATTTCTTTATACTTTTGAAATTTATTTGGTTAATCATAGAACGCTAATAGTTCACACGGATGTAGAACTAGATGGAGGTGGATTCGAATGTTTACCTTATTGTCGCAGTAAAATAAACCACGGAAGTGCCCTGGCTTTCATCAAGTTTCTCTTGCCCCAACCTTCCCGCCTTCCTGGGTCCAGGTCTTCATGCTGGCCTGAGCTTCCCAGAGACCCTGTGGTGCTCATCAAGATGCTCACAGTGGAGGCTAATGGATCTCTCAGGTGTCAGTGGCCTGTTTCTTCAGGCCTGGAGCCCCTGGCTCATCTACGAGTGAAGATAAAGGAATTTGTCAATTGTCTTGTGACTGCCTATAGGGTTCAGGTGGGAGGTACAGTCATGCCTGGGAAGGAAATTGTAACCCTCTTATTAATGATTCTTTTGTGGTTCTCTTATTTTCTTTAGCTTTGGCTGTTGCTGCTGCTTGGGAATACCGCTTTCCCCACATCTTGTTTGCTCTTTAAGCTTCACGGTATGCATGATATATCTATCAATTATAACAAAACACATATGCAATTGGTAAATACATACATTGAATTACAAATATGTCTAAAAGTCTAACATACTAAACTAGTGATTTGGTTTCAGAAGCTCATATGCAATGGCATATACCACGCAGTCTAAGAATGAGACAGGCTGTATTTTTAAAAAATTTTTACCTCTTGTGATCCCCTTTTGTCTGAGAAATTTTTTATGTAACTCTGAGTATTTAAGTGTATAAAGTAGATATTCAAAGCAAAGGTTTATGGATAATGAAATACACTTAGCATACTTCTAATTTTACCATTCATTAACAACGGGAACAAAACAGCCTACTAATGAGACGGAGGCATGCACATGTTTTTGCACAAGGAATTAAATTTTGGCTGAGCATTTGATGCTGCCGGAAGCAGAGCATTTTCAATATTTTTCAGAGTTGACTGATGTTTCAATTTTCTAATCATATACGCTGACGACGCTGCTTTGCATAAATCCATGGCACGAACGGCAGCTGTATATTCCCAGCCACTTCAGAAATGGTTGGAAATTCTGCCCTAAATTTAAGCCTTGGACTTTTATTGCAACTCAAGTGAGCCCCTTAAACAGCCAATTTTTGAAGTCAAACATTCCAATAGAATGCATTCTCAAAATATACTAACGTGATACCCACCTGCTGAGGAATGATGGTAAGAAAATATTAAATGTCTCGGTTTTCTGTAATTAAATCATTGTGTTTCTGTAAGAGCAGAAAACAAGCATTAAAGTACTGTAAAACAACAACAACAACAACTCTTCACGACATCACACGTGATATCCTAGAATCTGGGCTGAAGGATTCGGGCAGCACTGGTTGGCACCGGGTTGCATGAGATGATTTAGGGTAATGTGAGTAGCAGGTTGTGTGTTCAGAACCCGGACTGCAGGGAAGCTGTGTGCAGTAACTGTGCTGAGCCCAGCCAAAAGCACTCCAGATTCATTATGGGCTTGAGTTTGAACTTTTAGTTGTTGGGTGTTCAGAAACCTTTTTGTTGCCAGAAAGTTCCCAACGCCCACATCTAGTCATGTGACTCACAGTTTCAGGAGTTGGGTCATGGGTCACCTAAGTTTACATCAGTGTGCTCCTGTGAAGGTCATAGGATGGAGTCAGCTGATGCTGTAATGGTTAAGATATACCCATCCTTAAGTGAGAAGGCACTGTGTTCAGAGTCTCAAACTCCCACCAGAACAAACGGGAAGGCCAAGAGGAAGATATTGTTATGGATACGATCACTGTAAGAAAACAAAACAAAAATTCCCAGCCTGAACATCCCCATTCCCTTCCTCATCAAGGCCCTTGGGTACAATTTCTAGTAATGCTGTAAACACACAGAAACTCCCTTCTTAAGAGTTTCCCTATCTTTCTTCTCCTCTGTACTTTATTCTCCTCACATCTACATAGATTTAAAGACGGTGGCTGTGTGGCAAGGAATTTTTCATATTTAACATAGATATTTACAGATAATAGTCACATTGGAGCTGACAGTAGAAAAACACACAGGGAAAATAATGTTTATGTCAGTCCACAGCATTTAAGGGTACAAAATACTGTGATATAGGTGTGACATTTTTTTTTTTTACACAAGGTTTCCCTGTGTAGCCCAGACTGCCCTAGAAGAGATTCACCTGCCTCTGCCTCCCTGAGAGCCCTGCCCTCTGCCGGTACCACCACCATACCCAGCTTGGCATTTATCTTTTGTTTTTTTTCTGTCTTGTTTTGTTTATTTGTCTTTTTGAGATCGAGTTTCTCTGTAGCTTTGGAGCCTGACCTGGAACTAGCTCTTGTAGACCAGGCTGGCCAGGAAATCACAGAGATCTGCCTGTCTCTGCCTCCTGCTGTGATAAAAGGCATGTGCGCCCAACTGGCATTTATCTTTTTAAGAGAAAGCTTTACTGCAGTGAGGAATTCTTTCTTGGTCTGTCTCCCCTCCTTGTTTGATGTTATCATTCATTATGTCTGCAGCTTTTTTGCCTTTACTTCAAATTTTAGTTTTTCCACTTCCCATGTCCCTGTCGTTGGCTTTCTTGGTTGTTGCTATGGTTACATTAGCTCTTCTAGAAAGCAGCTAATCTTCTAAGCATACTTCCCAATGTTGAAACTTGCAAGAAACATTAACATTTAGCTTCTCACCAGGTCTAGAATGAAGAGAGCTGGCAAGCAGGTTGGTGTTTCTGCCACACTGCAGTATGGGAGATGATCAACGAGAAGAGTTGATCCCCCCCAAGCTTCCAAATTCAGTGGCCAAACAGACTACTCCAAAGAACCAACACAGTGGGAACTTTCCTCAGAGCCTAGGAATGGACAGCTCTTTCGGGCCACCACTCCAGGTGTAGAACGAACACATTGTTCTTGTCTTTAGATCAGGACAGATTTTAGAAGTCAAGATGTTCTGATGCCTCTGTAGGTTCAGGAGGCAGTCCTGGCTGAGGCACATGCTGGGACGCTTATGTCACTCTTTGACCTGAGCACACATGGAGAGAACAATCCCTGACACCATGAATGTCACCCTGCTCTCCTTGTACTGGAGAAAAGGAAAAGAAGAAGAATTGAATCCTGGCCAGTCAATAATGCAGCTCACTGGTTTGTGCCAAAGACATTGAATCTGAGATTGATGTCTATTCCCAAAGAGGATCTGTGCCTTCAGGAAATGCAACGGGCCCTGCACCCCACACACCATTTTTCTTTTAAGGCTGAGCTACCTTGAAGTCACCTCTCTGTACCAGTGGCAACACCCTAAATTAGTCTCCATTCAGAAATTACCTCCGATGGAAGCATTTTCCTCCCTGGGAAAACGTTCAACCTATTTAACTGGAGAGGAGCCATTGCCAAGAAGTTAGCCTGGAGGATGGCAATAATTAAATGATGATAATATTTAGGCTCTTGCAGGTGTAACAAAGGAGGCTTTCTTTGTCTCGGGTGGGGACATCTTGCTGGTGTCTGGGAAAGGAAGCAAGCAGGGGTGGGGGAGCCCTTGTGAGGGTGTGAGAAAAGGGAAGAAGGGCAGGGGAAGGCAATTCCTGTGGGTGAAAGGAGAGAATGATGTCACCAGGGGTGACAGAGACTTAGTGCTCATCAGAGATGGGCCCTGTGGTGTTTCATCCCAAGACATTAGAAGAGGTGAGAGATGGAACAAAGCCATTCTCCTTGTTAAATGGTTTACTGTCTGTGGAGGATGGACAAGGAGGGGCAGAGGCTTTCAGAAGGGAGAGGCACCGAGTATTTGAGCAAGTCTCCTGCTGGAAGCACAGTCTGGAGCAGCCTTCAGCTGAGGTCCCTTTTCACATTCTTGTCTTACTGAGAAGAAAGGCCTTGGAGATGGAAACTTAAGGCCTACTAACCAGCCTTGTCTTTCTAGCCATGCCAGTCTCTAAACCATCACCCACCCATTAGAAAGGAAAGCTGCACCCCTGTCAGCCAGCTTGCCTGCCAGCCTACATACCCCCGTGTGTATCAAGAAGGCGATGCCCACCCTGAGGGCCTGGATGTGTGAGCAGACCCCAGCTGTTTCATCGGCTGCTGTATGTATTGGTCTCAAAAGCCAGGTTGATGTAGAGTTCACAGTGATGGATCCATCCTGCGAATCTCATAAATAGCAACATTTGTGCCACTTCCTTCAGCTAAAGCCCTGTCCTCTGCTTGGCTCGACAAGAGGATAAGTAGAACGTGCCGCTTCCAGCTCAGGGCCAGGGTTCCAAGCCTGTGGGAAGAATCTGCATGCTTCCGTTATTCCTGCCTGAATGGGCAGAGTTCCATGCAGGCCCTAGTCCCAGATCAACCTCGCTGGACTTGAACTCCGGCTAAGGCAGTTTGAACCTTGGTGAGTCTCTGTGGAGTCAAAAGGCTGGGCTGCTGCCTACAGTA